AATAAGATAGACCTTTTATTGTCATTGTAAAGAGCACAATGAAATTACAGTTCAGAACACCCATTCAGAAGAATATATTAAGTATACACCAAGAAAACACAAGGCAACACACACCCGACATCTGTCTGCTCACCTGAAAATAAATGTATGTAAGAAAACATAGTAACAAAATACATATCTATATAATAATAAAATTAATTACACCTTCAGTGACCAGTCAGAACCCCCTGGATCTGAACACCTGTTTGTGAGCATGCATGTATATACAAGATCTCTCCTGTGGAATATGTAATAGTGACTGACAAAAAAAAAAACAATACAGATGTTTTCTTTGACGTTTTGTATTTGAAGGACAGACATGTCAAGGCACTTTAAAACCCTGGTATGAAAGGTGGCGGGTGATATGCATTCCATCAAGGAGTGCTAACCCCTTAACTCTGTTATGCAGTCAGGTACAAGTTTTTAAATWGCTCCTCCATAGCTCTGAAGCACGGCGCTGATGGAGGGTTAATGCAGCAAGCTGAAGGTTTACTGAAGCCCTAATGATAGCTTTCGTCTCCCCAGAGGGCAGTGGGTCTTCTACTGAGGCGCGGAGCCGAGGCGAATGCGCGAGACAAGTTTTGGCAGACGCCGCTGCACGTGGCTGCTGCCAACCGTGCCACGCGCTGCGCCGAGGCCCTGCTGACCCAGCTCAGCAACCTGAACATGGCAGATCGCACTGGCCGGACCGCCTTACACCACGCAGCTCAGAGTGGCTTCCAGGAGGTGAGACTGCAGCCAATTACTCCACCTTATTTACTTGTTTACTTAAACTGAAATAAAATAAAATCATAATTATGGWTTTTGTTTGTTTATTTATTTAGATGGTGAAGCTGCTGCTGAACAAAGGGGCCAACTTGAGTGCCATCGATAAGAAGGAGAGACAGCCCATTCATTGTGCTGCTTATTTGGGTAAGCACTCTGTCACTAGCTCTGCACTCCAGGGGCCTCSTGTATAACAGAGCGCACACACAAACGTGTTGTGTGCCAGTTTCCACGCACACGTCCGGTGTATCAAAACCAACGTTGCGTGGGAACGTGCRTACAGCCACGCAGACTTTTTCAGATGACAGTTTTAAACCACAAAGTCCTGAATCTGACCTGAATCCACAGAAATATGACTCGTGTCTGTTGTCTGGATGTAGGGGACATCTGAACACGGTGATATATTTTTTAGTTTGAGCTTTTATGGTTTAAATGCAAACAATGAAACAGAACCAGGTTTAACCTCAGAAAAGAAAACATGAAACACGCCTGAAAAGGATGGAAACAACCTCACTTTAATGTTAACTAGGGATGCACGATATATCGGCATTCAAATCTGAATCGGACGGGATTGGTAATTTTTTTAGAGTATCATATCAGTGCAATATGTAAAACTGGGCCGATATTAATATGCAATATTGATTTCCCACTTTTTAGCTTTGTGCATCTGTTTGATCATGATAGTGTTAGTGATGCTGCACAGCCAGGATTAACTGAAGCAGAGCCTGTCAGAGGTCTGCTTGTTTATTTGTGGTATCAAAAAAAGACCTACCATATTTATTCATGTATGATACTAGAAATGTAACCCTAAAAATCGTCCATAACGTGTGTGTGTGTGTGTGTGTGTGTGTGTG